ACACACACACACACACACACACACACACACACACACACACACACACACACACACTTTTGTTTTGGCCCTCATCTGCTGCCACGCTCGCAAACAGACGCGCGCACACACAGTCACACGCCACACACAATTTTAATCTGTTCCAAATGCTCACTGGTAAATGTGTTAATTCGACACCAGCTGTTGCGAATTGAAATGGGAAAGCGTTCCTACTTTTTTCTCGCCCGCTCCTGCGCGCGCACGCACGGCCGAGTCATTATACATCATTTTAGCGTCTCTCTCGCTCTCTCACACTCGCTCACTCACTTGCCCTCATTTGGCAACACAAAAGTAACACCAGACACCCACATCTTCACACCTCTGCCTCCTTCCTTATCCTCCCCTTTCTCCTCCGGCGTCTTCCTCTTGCTCTCTCCCTCTTCAGCCGTCCTCAGCTCTTTGTGTGTGCRTGCGTGCGTGYGTGYGTGYGTGTGTGYGTGYGTGYGTGTGYGTGTGTGGTAAGCTCTGCCCGGGCACGACTAGAGTTTTCACAGTCTGCTTCTCACATCGCCTCCCCTGTGTGCTTTATGGTGTGGGTGTGTGTTTGTTTACAAGCCTTGTCTAGATTCCTACTGTGCGTGCTTGTACGCTTGTTTGCATAAATAAGCCCCTCTCTTCGGAACCTGGCTGCCAATTTCAGTGCCGCGTCGCGGGGTTGATGTGCGAGGCACTCCTCCTGGACAGCCTCCTTGTCTTTTCTGCGAGGACCTCTTCTGCTGAAACACGCACACCTCTCTCCCTCTTCTTTTTTTGACCAGCAGGAAGAAATCTGCCTCCCTGTTCAGTGCCGGCTCTTTCTTCCTTTTCTTTGTCTAGAAGGCCTTCTCCAGTTTTGCGAGCTTGCTGCCTTTGAGCAATCAGAGTTACGTGCCTAAGGGAGGGTGCTTCAGCATGGATAAATTGGCCCTGGCGGCAGGACTCAGATGGGTGATGTGTCTCTAACCTTGAGTTCACCCTGTCACTCCAGGAGGTAACTTGCATCCTCCTGGTTATTCTTGGTCTCTCTTCAGAAGCTGCCTGTGGGTTTCTCTGTGTCTGAAGGCCTTACGTGTTTGCAGGAGGAGATTTCTGTATGAGCTGCCTTCAGCGTCAAAGCACCCCCCCACACCCCCTTCCTTTCTCTAGAGGAGATCTGATTTCCCTGCTCCAGGCAAGCTGCGAGTACAAGACAGAGTTTGCGTGTATCTGTGTGTGTGTGTGCGCGCGATTCAGTCCTCCTCTTTCTTTTTTTTTTTTTTTTACATTTGTGTGTGCGTTCACACACGCGCCATCCGGGCCGTGCAGACCTTCCACATCTCCGTTCGGTGCTTTGAAAAACGAGGGAGGAAATCTCAGAGCAGCAGTTATTATTCATCCCTCAAAGAGWACGGGGAGGAGGGAGAGGAGGGCGATAGGGAGGGATGGATGGAGGGAGGAAGACAGAGAGAGCCAAACGGGAGGAATAGAGGAGGGGGTGGTGGTGGTGGGGGATACATTAACTCTTATCTCACTGTGTTCGGCATTCTGCATCCCAGGATGAGATCCCTCTCTCTTTCTCACTCCTGTGCGCACTCTCTCTTCTTTCCTCAGTCCCTTCCTTCCGTTTGCTTGCCTCTGTGCCTCGAAAAAAATATCACTTTCAGCGTGACTCGTGTTGTGTGTGTGTGTGTGTGTGTAGGCTGTTGTGTGGTTTGTTTCTCTGTAGCCCACTGTCTTATATGGTGTTTTGTAATAACTTGAGCGAAGTAAGCTGCCGCTGAAAACCTGTTCAATCTGTACGCCTGCTTTCTGTATCTTTTTATGTTCAGGTCACTGTAAGAAAATGGTCTTTTTGCTAAAGCCGTGCTCTCTTTGGTGTAGATAATTTGCCTCTTTTCTAAATTTGGAAGCAAAACCCAACCACTTTTAGTCTTTTTGAACCCCTTTGATCTACATTATTATAAGAGTGATGTAATAGACGCTAAAGGTTCCCACAAAAGTCAGGAGTAAATCTTTTTGTTTGTGATTTTATGTGGAAGTGATCAAAGAAAGACAATTCTCTAATCATCAGGCTACATTTTTATCACCTGCTGCCAAAAAGATAAAAGGCGAGTAATAAGGATTTTGCCTGTTAATATATGTGTGTAAGTAGCCCTGTCTTGATAACAAATTTTGCAGGATATATCGTCTCAGAAATTATTGCGATAAACGATAATATTGTTTGGAAACCATTTTAAACAAATATACAAAGCTCACGAAAGTTTGTGAAAATTATGTACATAAAAAATGAGCAAACATCACACAACAACATTCCCACCTCCTCTATCCAAACTGGTGCAATTTATTCTGTATATGTCTTCCTCTGGCTTCATTAAATAATTGCGGTCACACAGCTTACGATGTTTACAAAAGTTTCCCAAATTTACATAGTGTTAAAAGAAAAAACTCTTGGTGAAACCAGTGTTCGGCAGGGTGCCCTGAGGGTGTCCTGAGGCGTCGCCACCTGAAAGGAGRAGTCAGAAAACCSAAGACGCTCCTCTAGCTARATGCCTGTTCACTTGGCTCTCACGCTACAGAGGTTACGAGACTATGCATCTGGCAAATACCTGATGCCAGAGTCCACTCCTCCCCACACTAAAAATAGAAAAGAGGGAGACACGAAGAAAACAATCTGGCAAGTGAAAATTTTCGATCTCATTAAAATTTATTGTGCGATTGATTTGTTGCTTATTGAGACGAGCCTTTTCATGAGTCTGTTAGCAAAATAAACCCTGAGCAAGTAAGCAGATTTTTATGAAACTTTCAGGTAGAAATCTCATCAAACTTACAGATTTTGAGTTAAGATTTAGTGTGGTAGTAGCTGAGGACCATTCACRACACATACCGAGTGCTGACGGATCACCCATATTGTTAAGATTTGACTAAAAAGACCAATTTCTCAACATAAGGTGATTTAAGGTTAAAACTCTAGCAAAGTGAACAATATGCATTCTGTCAAAGAATGCTATGCTTTCTAATTTTGTAGTTTTTTTTTTTTACTTATTTACACACAGATTACACATCAGCTGCATCAGATGCTCTTTGATTGTCATGCTCTGATTTCCTGACTGATAGCATGGCTAGGTCCAGATCGTCTTTGGCAG